ATTCATCCCAGGGGGGCTTTGCCACTGAGCCACATCCCCAGCCCTTTTAAATATTTTATTTAGAGACAGGATCTTGCTGAGTTGTTTAGGACCTCGTTAAGTTGTTGAGGAACTCCTCCTGCTTCAAGCTACGGAGTTGCTGGGATTTATGGGCATGCTCCACCGCACGCCTGGCCTGGAATGGCTTCTGCATAGTTTATATCGAAGTCCTGACTCCCAAAGCCCAGAGCTTGGGCAGGGGTGGCTGCTTCTGCATTTGAAGAGGTGTTTTTTGTTGTTTGTTTTTTCATGGGGGAGAGTAATTTTGCAGTCCAACTAAGTATAAACATCCATTCATAAAGACATTCCTAGTCTCCCCTTCTTCCTCCTTTTCTGGGAAGGAATAGAAGAAATTTGTATGGCTCTTGTTGTTTTGCAGTGTACACTCCCATGTTTTAATCCTCAGCGATTCTATGACATAGGCCATATTAAACTGACCATTATTTAGATGAGATTGAAGCCTAGTGCAAAGAATCAGAGCTGTTAAAAGTCATATAAGACTGAGATAGGAACCAGCTTTTTGTTTTTATGGGATGATAGTTTGGAAAGAGAGCCTAGGGATACATCATTCCCAAATCATATAGAGTTGCGTCTAGAATCTTTTCACATTTATACTTGGAATTTCAGTTTCGGAAGTACTCAACAAATAATGAAGTACTCTTCAGATAATGAAGCCTTCCGGAGACGGCCTGACAGGTATATGGTTCCATAGCCTGCTTCCCTGCTCAAAACTGAAGCTGTTCCCTGCACCCTCCACCCCAGATACACACGGCACCTCCTCAGATAGAAGCAAAAAGCTAGCCGCCCCCCTTTTTTTTTAGTTCACAGCTTCCCAGTTGTGGGGTTCATGGACGTAGGATCATCAGTCATACAAGGGACCTTTGAAGGCCTCCAGTCGAACCTGTTACTTTGCAATGAGGAAACTAAAGCCTCGAAATTGACTAGCTCAGACAGCCTGGTTGTGATAGAGCCGAGATTCCACTGAAGGTCTTAGGACTCCCAAGTCACTGTCACTTCAGCTTAGTGTGTGGGCCTGCAGTGGTGTAGAGATAACCATGTTTAGAAAAACGAAAAATGTAGAGATAACCATGTTTAGAAAAACGAGCATGATTCTTTGCTGTCTTATTGCACATAAACCATTATTCTACCTGCAAGGCTTTCAAGGAAGATGTCTGATTTCTATATTATTAATGCTAGCTTTATAATCCTTATAGCTGCAAAATAATTCATGGTCCCTTTTTTCTTCCTCTGAACAGCCACTATGGAAGGAGAGGTCAGGATTACAGCTGAGGAGACTGGCACACAGAGTGTTAAGTGACACCCACTCAATCACCCTGAAGCTGTTACAATTAATTAACCCTCAAACTGCCCAGTGAGGTAGGTCAGTATTAAAATCTAAAAAAAGGATTATAAAGCACTTTAAAATTCAGAGACTACTCCATGACAAAAAGTATTTTTTTCACACATGGAAGTTGGTTTCTGACCTTCTCCAGGTCTGGGAAGAGTAGGGTTTAGACATTCATGCCTCTACTCTGAGTCTTGGGTCCTCCATTGTTGTCCCCACTGCTTATCACTGCTTTTCAGTGGCTCTCTGGGGCTTACTTTCCCTTTCTTAGATGGCTTATCACCTGGCTTTCCCACCCGCCGGCCTCTAACTCCCGTCCCTTTTCAGTTTACAGGTTGGTGACCTACATCTTTGTCTATGAGAACCCAGTCTCCCTGCTCTGCGGTGCTGTCATCATCTGGCGCTTTGCTGGCAATTTTGAGAGAACTGTGGGCACCGTCCGCCACTGTTTCTTCACCTTGATCTTCGCCCTCTTCTCCGCGATCATCTTCCTGTCATTTGAAGCTGTATCGTCACTGTCAAAGCTGGGGGAAGTGGAGGATGCCAGAGGTTTCACCCCGGTGGCCTTTGCCATGCTGGGAGTCACCTCTGTCCGCTCTCGGATGAAGAGGGCCCTGGTGTTTGGTGTGGTGGTGCCCTCGGTGCTGGTGCCCTGGCTCCTGCTGGCTGCCTCTTGGCTCATCCCCCAGACCTCCTTCCTGAGCAACATCTGTGGCCTTCTGGTCGGGCTGGCGTGTATCCTTCTAGAAGGGAATTCAGAGAGATGCCAGTCAAGGGGGGACCTGGGGGGGCAGGTAGATAGTCTTGGGCTCAGACATAGGCAGCCTAGGCTCTGGCTGCAGCTTTGAGATCCCTGGAGCCTTGGGCTGGTCACCTCCTCTGTCCAGCCCAGGATTTCCTCACATAGTCATCTCCTCGTGCCAGCTTAGCCTAGCCCTGCCAGTTGGCAAAATATACTAAATTTGAGGGTTTTTTTCCTTGAAAACTTAGGTATAAACCTACATTGATCAGTTATCATAAGAGTGTTCATTGGAAGAGTCTGAGATACCCAAAAGCTGGAGATATTCATGAAAGGGATAGGAAACATTTGGTTTGTGATTTTTTTTTTTTTTTTTTT